CATTTATGGTTTTTTTTTTTTTTTTTTTTTTTTTTTTTTTTTTTGGTTTTTTCGAGACAGGGTTTCTCTGTGTAGCTTTGCGCCTTTTCCTGGAACTCACTTGGTAGTCCAGGCTGGCCTCGAACTCACAGAGATCCACCTGGCTCTGCCTCCCGAGTGCTGGGATTAAAGGCGTGCGCCACCACTGCCCGGCCATTTATGTTTTAAGTAAAATTTTTTCTTCTTTTATGTATGTTCTTTGGCAATGCTGGGCCTTAAACCCAGGGCCCTGGGGTTCACCTCTGAGCTGCATCTCCAGGCCTCTGTCACCTCCTAGGTAATCTTCAGAGAGCGCATCTCTGAGGCAAGAATCAGTCTTTAAGGCACTCAGCCATCAGCAACTGTATAGGCAGTGTTGTGGCGCAGGCACTGGAGTACAGGATTAGGTGTGTTCAGCTGAAAACCTGCTGATGGAGAGAGCCTGTTTCCCTCGTGGACCAGTGACAGTGAGAATCGTGAATGTCCTGGGTACTGAGGAGCCTGAGTTCCTGATGCCCAGAGCTGGTGTTACAAGGGGCTGTGAGGAGCCGCTCAATGTGTGCACTGGGAACTGAAGTTGGGAGAAGCAGGAGATATTAACTGCTGAGCTGTGCCATGGTCTCTGTCTCTCTCTCTGTCTCTGTCTCTCTGTCTCTCTGTCTCTCTGTCTCTGTCTCTCTGTCTCTCTCTGTCTCTGTCTCTCTGTCTCTCTGTCTCTGTCTCTCTGTCTCTGTCTCTCTGTCTCTGTCTCTCTGTCTCTCTGTCTCTGTCTCTCTGTCTCTGTCTCTCTGTCTCTCTCTCTGTCTCTCTGTCTCTGTCTCTCTGTCTCTCTCTCTCTGTCTCTCTGTCTCTGTCTCTCTGTCTCTCTCTCTGTCTCTCTGTCTGTCTCTCTGTCTCTCTGTCTCTGTCTCTCTGTCTCTCTGTCTCTGTCTCTCTGTCTCTGTGTGTGTGTGTGTGTGTGTGTGTGTGTGTGTGTGTAGGCCAGTGGTTGACATTAGTGTCCTCTTCAGTTACTCTCCACCTTGGATTCTGAGAAAAATAACTGAACCTGACATTCACCGAAGGGCTTAAACAGACCTGTCAGCCAACCCTGTATCCGCCTCCCAGGGCTGTATTAAGACAGATGCCGCCATCCATGTGTGGCGTTTCTTCATGAATTTGGGGACCTGAATTCCAGTCTTTGAACTTGTTCTTTACCTACCATCTCCTGTATTCTGTGTTCTGAAATAGAGCATTGCTATGTAGCCCAGGCTGGCCTCACACTGTGTAGCCCAGGCTGGCCTCACACTCACTGTGTAGCCCAGGCTGGCCTCAAACCTGCCCCATCATCCTCCTGCTCTGCCTCTCTAATGCTAGAATTACAGGTAGGGACCTGCTGTTGGAGAGATTTCTCCAGCCAGCGGCGTCAGTGGAAGCGGTATGATTTTAGTGTGTGTGTGTGTGTGTGTCACATCTACTGCGTCCAAACTCTTCCGATTGGAGTTGACTCCCATTTGTGACTAATTTTTCTTTTTTTTCTTTTTTCTTTTTGGTTTTTCGAGACAGGGTTTCTCTGTGTAGCTTTGCGCCTTTCCTGGAACTCGCTTTGGAGACCAGGCTGGCCTCGAACTCGATCCGCCTGCCTCTGCCTCCCGAGTGCTGGGATTAAAGGTGTGCCCCACCACAGCCCGGCTATGTGACTAATTTTTCATTCTGCATCACCCCCTCTTCATTTCATCGCCCAGAGATCATGTGTAGTCTCAGCAAGCTCCGACCATGAGGTGAGTGAGACCAGCTTGTCCCTCCTTAGCTCTTCCCGTCAGAGGCTGCTAGAATCTGGTGGGTCCAAAGTACGTTTTCACACTTACTAATCTCTCCTGTGTGTACATGTGTGAGCGCCAAGGAACACGTGCAGCGGTTTCTCCACTCCCACCATGTCGGTCTCAGGAACGGAACTTAGGTTTGACAGAGTGTCTTTACCCACGGAGACTTCTCGCCACTGTCGGAGGAGCCGTGACTGGAGTGTGCCATTCTCAGCCACACCCCCCTCTCCCCACCAATGATGCAATGTGGTGGAAAAGAGAGAGAGAGCACACCGCGAACTGTGTGGGAACCCTGGAGTTCTGTCAATTCTCTGAAGCAGCTTGCCATCTGAGCGCTTCAGCCCTTTGGGGGTGGAGGGGGCGGGGCCATGATCGTTTGCCAGGGAGTCCTGCCCACCCAGCTCACACGTGGGTGGCCATTTGTTTTCTGCATCCTTCTAGTGACTGCAGGCTGGCGATGCTGGTGTTTAATGACAGGACTCAGAGGCTCAGTTATGACAACCATGTCGCTGTCATCAACGCCCTTTGTTTTCGGGGAACAGGAAAAGCTGCTTCACATCGAAAGGTTCCCGCTACGAGAAGGAGGGAGGTGGAGTCGGTCAGTCGAGGGAAGCCAGAGTGGGCCACCTAATACTATTTCCAGAAGTGGTACCTGGGCATGAGGTCAGCTGACTTACATGATGAGGGGCCTCAGAAAAAGGGACACGTCTTTTTGGACATGCTGTTCCTTCTGTTGGAAAAGCAATTGCTTGTGTTTATAAATGGACATCACTTTTGCCATTTTTGGTTCCTTTGAAATGCCCCAGGGAGATGTTATTTTTGGTAAGGGGGGTCTTCCTGCTTCAGCCTGTAACTGTGAGTCGCTGGTTTGGAATCTTCTCTAGTAAGGGAGAGTGAGCAGAGCAGGAGGTGATCTTGATGGAGGGCCAGCTAGGTGTCAGGCAAGGGGCTTGCCCAATGTGTGTGCTCACTTGTGTGTGTGTGTGTGTGTGTGTGTGTGTGTGTGTGTGTGTGTGTGCTCAAAAGGGCAGCCAGATGACAAACTTGGGTGTTGTTCCCAATTGGCACTTTTTAAAAAAATTACACTTACTTATTGTGTATGTACACACCCATGCAGAGGTCAGAGGTCACCTTTCAGGTGTCAGCTCTCTTCTTCCACCAGGGGATCTGGGGACTGAACTCGGGTCATCACGCTTAGCGGCAAGTACCCTCACTTGCTGAGCTCATCTTGTTTCCTGAGGCTTGGCCCCTTGATGGTCTGGAATCCACGAACTCGGCTAGGCTGGCTGGCCAGTGAGCCCTCCCCCCAGCTCTGCCTGCCCCGCCTCCCCAGTGCTGGGATTCCAAGCATGGACCCACCACGCATCCTATGTGGGGTCCGGGGATCGGACACAGGTCCTCCTCATGTTTGTGTGGCAGGCTCTTTCCAGGCTGAGCCCTCTCCCCAGCCCAAAGGAACATTTCCAAGTGCTGTCTGTCCCCCTTCTGTGGACTCAAAAGATCTGGTTGTAACTGGTCTCCTTGCCAGGTCGTCACGAGAAAACACAGCCACGAGAGAGAGCCGAGATGCTGCTGCTGATGTCTCTCAGCCGTTGAGTGGAGACCAAGGCTCTGAATGCAGGCGTCTTCCTAGCTTACACTACAACTGGGAAAAAGAACTCAGCAAAAACAAGCATCTCGGGTCAAAAAAGGTCAAGAAAATGAGTGAGGCCGGAGGGTGGTTTATTTGTAAAACCCCCGGGATGACTTTAAAAACACAACCTTTTGGGGAGAAACTATAGTGATTCAGACCAAAAAAAAAAAAAAAAAAAAAAAAAGGCAGCATGCTTTTTGGGAACTTACCCCTCCCTCCACTTCGGGTGGACAAGACATTCTGTGTTCCTATTTTTGGGTGAAAAAGAGGTGGACGTGGAAAGTCCAAGGTGAAGATGGGTTCGGCCTGTCTCTGCCTGGTTTACATGTACAGTGGGCGCTATGGGGTGATACCCGTGCTGTGTGCCAGGCAGACCCAGTTCCTCCTCAGGGCCTTCCCATCCCTCTCCACCTTTTCTGCTCCCCCTTGTGCCTCGGAGCTGGAGAAACTTCTGGTCAAACTGGTCAGTTGGCAAACAGAGAGGTCAGAAAACAAAAGCTGGGTCATGTGACAGCAGACCCAAGCCACTTCTGCCAGGACAGCCCCAGAACTAGCCAAAACTTGACCGTAACCACCCCCTCGACTAAGGGACAGAATGTTGACACCAGTTCTCGCCAAACCGGGGGGCTCACTGTGCTGTGTGAGTGACCGCTTGGGTAAAGACACTTCAAGCTGAGGACGTATTCAGATCTTCTGGGCCCTTAATGGGTGCCGGGTGGATTCTGAATGTGGACCTGTGTGCCTGGCGGCGGCAGAAAAATAAGTAGTGACCCAGGCAGGGTTGCGGGGGAGGGGGTAGTGAAAAGGTCACCACCATGGAAGGCGCAGGCCCCTGGAAATTCCCTACTGTCCAGGGTCTACTTCAGTTCTTCGGCCTCAGTTCTACTTCCCTGCAAACTCAGGAGGCTGAGCAGAGCTCTCAAGGAGGTGCTTCCTCTTGTGCCCCTTGAGTTGGTAGTCAGCCGGCAAGAGCCAGAATGCCCTAAGGCCCCCCCGCCCCGCATTGGACACACACCCTGAGGCCTTTCACCTGAGTGCAAGCCGGCTGTGACCTTGAACCCAGAGTGCTTCATCAGCTGGGCCCCCAGGGACAGCTCTGCTCCAGGGCGGGACTCTTCACCCGGCTTCACCCTTGCGCAGCAGTAGCCAAGCAACTTTCTCCACTATTTCGGGTTTCTCTTGGCTTGGTTCACAGAGGGAGGTCGAGGGTGGGGCTAGTGGCTGGGGACACCCCCCCTGGGAGTAGCTCTGACCTCCATCAGGTTTTGGCAATCACCTGAATGCACAGGTGAGGCCGCTCCAGGGTAACTCCTGGAAGTGCCTGGTTGACAGGGTGCTATTGGAGCCCTCCTGGCATGGTCCCCCGCGTCCTGGGCAATCTGGGCTGCGCCCCGGGGAGCTAAGGGTGAGGAGAAGGAGAGGGAGGAAAGGGAGGAGGGAGAGGGAGGGGAGGAGGGAGAGGAAGTCCCTGGTGCCTGAGAGGCTGGGTCAGGAGCGCGTGGCCGCGGACGGTTGGGGGCGCGCCGCCGGGCTTGGGGCGCGGAGCCGCGGAAGGGGCGGTGCGTTCGGGGTCCGCGTCGGGGTCGCGCGTCGGGCGCGCCGTGGCCCCGTCGGGGCGGCGGGAGCTGCGGAGCCGCCATGGCGGACCTGGAGGCCGTGCTGGCCGACGTCAGCTACCTGATGGCCATGGAGAAGAGCAAGGCGGCGCCGGCGGCGCGCGCCAGCAAGAAGGTCGTCCTACCGGAGCCCAGGTACGGGTCTGGCCCTCCGCGCCCTCTCCGGTCCCCTCCCGTGCCCTCCCGTCCCCTCCCGTCCCCTCCGGTCCTCTCCCGCCTTCTCCGATCCCTCCAGTCCCCTCCCTTCCCCTCTGCCCCGCTGTCCCGGGCTGGTTGCAGGACCCCCTTTCCCCCCTGTCCTCCCCCCACCACCCCACCGCTCCGCAGCAGTAAGACAGACCTCCCGTTCCCAGCTCTGTCACCCGCTCCCTCACCTGAGCCGCTTAACTCAACTTGGACCCCTGGCGGCCTGCCCTCTCTGGAAAGGATGACAGAAGTGCTTGAGTCCAGCCCGGTCTTGCAAGACTGTATAGGTTCCCGCTGAACTGGCCCTGGCTGGCGACTCCCTGCCAAGTTGCCCTTTTACCCCCCGCCGATTGATTATTGATTTTACCGGGGTGTGATGGCTTCTTAGGGCTGGACTTGTCCCAGGGCGTTCCCACCGGTGTTCCAGAGCAGGGCTGAGGGCTCCCTTCTTAACTGACCCCACGGCCGGTTAGTTGCAGAGATGGTGTGGTTCCCCACCCCCCCTGCACAACAACAGTCCCCCGGAGTTGACAGTAAAATTGGCTCTGACTTTATGGCCACCCCTGAACCATGCAATTCTGTAAGGATCCAAACCAAAGTTGCTCCCCCGTTGAAACAGCCAAGTGTGACACACCCATGGGGCACCAATGTTACCTGGATGTAAAGGAAAATAGACATATTTATTCTTTCCGTATTTTGAGGTGCTGGGGATGGGACCCAGGGTTTCACATGTGCGAGGTAGGCAGTCTACATGCACAGCCCCCAAAGAACCGCTCACTGCTGAGCGATGGTCAGATTATTTTTTTCCAAGTGTGTGTTTGTGAGCCCCGTGATCCAGGGAGCATCAAATCCCTGTGCTGTGTTTGCTGGGAAGATTCATACTGTACACACAGCTGCGCTGCCTGGGTATTTTTGGCTTGCCTTCCCTTCCAAGCCTTGGCCCCTTGCTGTTTTTGGGGGGTATGTTGCTCCCTGACAGAGCAAACCATCCACGAGGGGGGACCTCAGTGGACTGTGGTCAGTCCACGCCCTCCTGGAGTTTAACCTGTCTGAAGCTCACTGGAAATGGGACTTGATTGGAATCCCTAGTAAGTGGGAAGGGGGAAGACCCGGGACTCCCCAAGTCAGATTCAAACTTCAGTAGAAAACTCCCCCTGTGGGGGACAAGAAAAAGCTCCTCTTCACCCTCTCCTCCCTTTCCTCTGCCCCCACCCTGTTGAGGGGCAGGGAATCTTAAATATGTATGGTTTCTATATATAAAACCAATAAATCACAACTCATGGGGAGTTCTGTGGGGGAGGGGGATAGACGATGACTAAATTTAGGAAGGTCCTTCTGCTCATCTCTTTTTTTTTTTCTTGGTATTTTGAACCCTAGCTGGGCTTCTGCTCTGCACTCTCACCCCGGGGCGTACACCACAGTGCCTGGGGCCTTCACTTTCCTGTACCGACACCTCTGTTTTCCCACGGTCTTCGTTGTTGGTCATGCTTCCTTTCGAAGGAGAAGTGGTGGTGTATGCAGTTGAGCTGACAAAGCCCCGGCATTCTAAGGCTGAGGGACGTCAACAGGAGAATCAGGTTAGGGAGAGGCGCTCGAGGACCGCTCTTCTGCGGCCAGTTTTCAGGCAGACTCTTGAATCAGGCCGTCGGTCCCCCTCTTGTCCTCTGTCTGTCTGTCTTAGTGACTTCAGCCCTTAAGAGTAACGACCACCCGATGACAGTCCCTCCCGGTGCCTTGTGAGGGTTTGGCTGCTGGAAGACATTGTTTAGAGACGTGTTTGCCTAACGAGGAACATGTATTTGAACTTGCCTGTTGGTCTGTCACTATCGATTTTTTTTTTTTTTATTTCCAACTAATTATCTGGTCACCGTCCGAATTCTTCCTGCTTCCTGATCTCAAGCGACTCTGCCTCTTCCCAGTTTTCAACCGAACCAGACAGTAGTATCGTGTTAACGATAACGAAACTGGTCTGCAGGGCCCAGCCTCCTTTGCTTGTTATAAGGAATCTGGGAAAACGGAACACTGAGCCCAGGGGAGAGTTGGCCTCCCCCCCACCCCCCCCAGAAGGCAAGAGGCAAACATTTTGCTATGTTGACATATTATTCAATTAACGGGCCGACGGGTGTAAATCCTCTGAAGACTGACTATCTGTTCAAATCACATCTCTGCTTTAGTTCACCCAAACATTTGTTGAGCTAATGGAGCTGATAATGGGGCCTTTTGGAGGTGGTGCCTGTGACTCTTGCAGCCCTGCTAACCAGTGCGTTTATCTACTGTGTCCATTGTATGCCTCAGTGACAAGAAATGATCCAATTGAATTGAATCTAACTCACAGGCAAGGCCCCGAGAGTCAGGGCTCTTAGTCACTTAGCCGTTAACTAAGACAGCTCTTCACACTGGGTCCGCTTCTCTGTTAACCTTTTCCAAACAGAATGTTATTGAGTTGACCTGGAGTCACATGTGGCTGAAGGAAATTGAGTAATGAGGCTTAGTCTTCCCCTGAGAAACCCTTTCTGTTTCCTCGATGTTGACGATGTTGGGCCCTGCATTAGGAAGCCCCTCTTGTCAATCACTCATGCAGAATAACCGGGAGAGCAGAAAGAACATGGCTGAGACCGTGGGTCAGAGGGCAACCTCAGCTACCAGTCCACACGCTCCGCCCTGTCAGCCAGGTCTTGCTCGCTGCTGCATAGGCCGGGACAGCTGACCCCCACACTTCCAGTCTCTATCTCCCATCTTGCTGTAACAGCAACACTGAAAGTACAGATGTGTGCCACCTTGTCCCTCTTTATGTGGGTTCTGGGGATCCGAACTCAGGTCCTCACGCTCTTGATTTTCTGAGCTATCTCCCCGGCCCTGTTTGTTGTTTCTTCTCCTGAGTTGGTAGCAGTGGTGGACCCGTTTCTCAGAAGGCCGGTGTGGGGATGTTCTGACACGCCACACAGCCCTCCCCACTAGGCCTCTAATAGTCAAGACACAGTGGGTCGACCTGGGCAAGAGCTTTGCTTTCAAGTGTGGGTGCCCCACTGTTCTGTTCTACCCCGGACCGGCGGCGTCTGGATTCTGTGGTTCTGCGTTTGTGGAACACATTGTGCTCTCGAAGCGCTTTCTCATGACTGGTGAAGAGCTGTCCGCGCTTGGCAACACGTAAGTGCCATGGCTGTTTGCGTCTCCTGTCTGTCACACAAACGTGGAAAGGGTGTGGCTCTTTGCCGTTACACGTTGTGATGCTCCTGGTTTTGTTCTGTGCCCACAGTCTAACCTGGAAAATGTGATGAGTACTGATAGGGGTGGGAAGTGTCCGGGTGGCGGCTTTCTGCAAAGCTCCCATCCCCAGCACCACAAACAAACAAACAAACAAACAAACAAACAAACAAACCCATAGAGCCTTCGGGAATAAAGTATTTCGTCTTCAATAGGAGTCATTCCAAGAGAGGAAGCACTTCTTCCCAACAGGCACAAATTCAAAAGGCAATTTGTCGTGACCTTTCCACTCTTATTTCATTCTTGGTCAAAGTTAATTTGTGCCAGGGACTTGGAGAGGCACGGGATGCTCACAGCTGCCGGTCCTTGGTAACAGATGTTCTGGAGCAATCAATTTGGGACCTGCCCAGTGCAACACTGTAAAATGCTTGAAATCCAGGGCCCCGTGCGTCCCTCTGAGGTACAGGCAGTCCTTGTTTTGATGATCTGTTCTTAGAGACAATCTTTGGAAGCACTTGCCCAGAACTTGGCTCGGCCAGACCCCCAGGAAGACAAGGATGAGACTCGGGGAAGGGTGTCGGGGTTGGAGGAGACGCTGTGAAAGTCTTCCTCAGCAGGTGGACGGATGGACGGCAAAGGGGAGAAGTGAGATTGGGAACAATAGGGGGCTTTTCTCCTTGGGGCCCCCAACACCCTGACAAAGGAACGGTGTCTGCTAGGTAATGGCACAGGAAATAACGTCACTGGCAACATCTCCTCCTCCAGCCTTGGCGCCTCAAGTGTCGCTGTGGTAGCCACAGCAGGTGCACACCATTCTCCTGTTTCACACATGCTCAAGAATACCAGGGACGGGAAGGCAGGGGATCCAGGGTACGGGATACAGGATGTGAATCCGGGCTCCCCAATCTACCCACTGCACGGCTGAACCTCCCCCAGCTGAACAGACTAGCCAACACTCTCACCTCTTACTGTACAGGGAGTGGATGAAACCTTTTGTTTTTAGTTTGGAGAAAGGTCGTGTTAGGAGATCTTAGTCACTGGTGCAGCTCTGGGATATCAGGACTGTCCTCAGAGGCTGTGAGAGAGCAGTAATTCCTCTGGGGCCTCTGAGGAGGGTAATTATGATCAAGTAAATCTGCAGGTGAAGCCTTGTTCCCCAGAAGGAGGTCGAGGTTCGATAACACAGGGAAAGAGCGTGGCGGTCGTCCTTGCTGGAGTAGTAAGGAGTTGTGGTCAGCATCGCCTCATCCCAGCTTCCAGACAGGGTTTCCACCTGAGCGTTTGCTCAGAAAAAGTCGGTGCTGACCCCCCCCCCCCCCCAACTTCCATTTCTAGGAAAAGATAATGTATTTAGCTTTATTCTTAATAAAAATCACTATTTCAAAAAACCTCTTATTAGAGAATGATAGGTGTGAAAGGCTCCCGGTGGGAAAGGAGGTGAGCATGGCCGTCTCCTTGTCACTGTGTCCCTCTGTAGACACCGGCCGGCAGTAGGAACAGAAGTGACGAACTCCGTGCCCTGGATAGTCTTATGTCAGCTTGGCACAGCTGGAGTCACTGGAGAGGAGGGAGCCTCGACTGAGAAAATGCCTCCATAAGATCAGGTTGTAGGCAAGCCTGTGGGGCATTTTCTTAATTAAGGATTGATGGGGGAGGGCTCAGCCCATGGTGGGCGGTGCCATCTATGGGCTGGTGTTTCTAAGAAAGCAGGCTGAGCAAGCCATGGGGGCAAGCCAGTAAGCAGC